AATCTCCAGAGGAAGATCTCCAGACTTCCCAACATTAAATATTCTGTGATTCTGCAACGCTTCAGTGTGGCCAGTTGGGTCTCAGTCAAACTGCTGGCACCCAGCTGGGTGTCCCCAGCATGCCCAGGGACCTGGGGTTGTTTGGGGTCCTCTTAGGGCCAGGACACAGCCTCCAGCACCAGCCACATCGGGTGGTCACACTGGGGACAGTGACCATAGAATCATAGAATCATTAGGGTTGGAAAAGACCTCCAAGATCATCTGGGCCAACCATCCCCCTACCACCAATATCCCCCACTAAACCATGTCCCTAAGTATCCCATCCAGCCTTTCCTTAAACACCTCCCCCAGGGACGGTGACTCCACCACCTCCCTGGGCAAACCATCCTGATGCCTGACTGCTCTTTCTGAGAAGAAATGTCTCCCGATTTCCAACCTGAACTTCCCCTGGTGCAACTTGAAGCCATTCCCTCTTGTTTCCTATTGCTAGTTATCTGCAAGAAGAGGCCGATCCCCAGCTCCCACACCTTCCTTTCAGGTAGTTATAGAGGGCAATAACGTCTCTCCTCTCTCCTCCAGACTCAACAACCCCAGTTCTGTCAGCCACTCATAAGACTTGTGTTCCAGACCCTTCACCAGCATTTCAGCCTTTATTTGGACACATCTCAGGGCCTCGATGTCCTTCTTGTCGTGAGGGGCCCAAAGCTGAACATGGTACTTGAGGTGAGGCTTCACCAGAGATGGTTCATCACCTCCCTGGTCCTGCTGGCCACTATTCCTGATACAAGCCAGGATGCTGTTGACCTTTTTGGCCAGCTGGGCACACTGCTGGCTCATTTTCAGGTGAGCATCGACCAACACCCTCAGATCCTATTCCTCTGCACAGCTTTCCAGCCACTCTGCCCCAAAACCTGTAGTGTAGCATGGGGTTGTTGTGACCAAAGTGCAGGACCCAGCACTTGGGCACGTTGAACCTCATGCCATTGGCCCCTGTGCATCAGCATCCAGTTATTTGGTCTGGTTTGTGCTCTATGCAAATTCGGCATCGAGACTGAAAGGTTCGCCTCACCCTCCCTTGCTTTCTCCCTTGCTTTCCTTCTGGACCAAGGGGTAAGGAAAGGAAAGCTCTGCCTCGGGGTGAGCTAACAGGTAAAAGACATGAGGGGGTTGCAAGGAGCCCTAGGCCGTTTGTGTTTGAAATGGCCCCACTGCTATTTGATCTCCTGTCACAGCACAGACTCGGGGCTGTTTTTCATTTCCCCGAAGTCAAATGGAAACCAAAGGCACTTGAGAAAATTTCTACCCTCAGAAACACTCCGAGGTTTGGCTCGGCGCCCAGAAAGCGGCGCCTGAAGCTCTTTCTAACATGGCTGCTGTTTGCTCTGGCCTGGCTCCAGCTGACCTGAGCTGATGGAAACGTGGGAGCCGCACATTCCCCCTCACACTGGCCACACTCGCATCCACTCTGAGGATGACTGGCAGCTGTCAGTCACCGCCTCAAGCTTGGTGGGGAGAGCTCATGGTCATCTTCTGACACCTTACTGAGGGACACCCATGAGCTGCCTGCACTCATGCCCTGGCGGGTGTCCAGTCCTGGAACGTGCCCAGACCCAGGCTCAGCAGCAAGGGATGCAGGACATGTGGCAACCTGGAGAGAAAGCCAAGAGCGTGGCCCTGAGCTGCTGTGAATGGTGCAGAGGAGGTTCCTTTTATTCCTTCTTGGGTGTTCCTCCTCCCTCCAGCTCTCCTAAGGAAGGTGAGCCCACAAGGGCTGGTCCCAATCCCACTGCCACACTAACCCTCTTCCCACAGAGAGAAACATCGAGCACCTGGTGACAGCCCTGGATGTCTTGAGGTGTGTAGGCATCAAGATAATCAACACCACTACAGATGTGATCCAGCACCCACTGGGTCATCCTTCATCCTTCATCCACCATCCTTCCCTCCTCCATGATTTCTCTGCCCATTCCAGCCCAGCCATCATTTGATAGAAGAAATCACCCCAAAGTCATTCACTTTTGTACCCCAGTGCTCAGCCGTGCCAATTCCCTCCGCTGTTCTAACCAAACTCCCCATCCCCTCTCATTGTCTTCCTACAGGGGTTCCTGCTGTGGGTGGAGGAGACCTGTCCACCCCCACTCACCCCAGTATGACCCCAGGCTCCACGGGGACCTGCCTGTTCGCCAAGTCCCACCTTCATCTCCTGTAACTCTGCATCTTTCCATAAAGCCAACTTGAGCAAACACCAGGGAAAGCTGGAGGCCACCGTACGTAAAGTCCATGTGGCTGCCACTGCATCCAATACTGCCTAAGCAAACATGAAAGCCCTGGTGGAAAACCAAGAATCAGCAAACTGATGACACGGAGCAACACCTTGTCTCCATGGCACCAGGACAGAAGAAGCCTGACTCTTTGGTGTGAAGGATGGGAGAGGGTTTCACCAGGAAACTTCTGCTTCAGGTTCCTGTGCATTGCTCTAGGGTGGCATGGCACCCTAGGTGGTTCATGGCCAGTATTTCCAGCCCTGCTGTGACCATGCTCTGCCATGGGATGTGCTCTGTGGTGAGTGCTTGCTCATCAGTTCTGGCATACAGCTCCTCTGGAACTGTTTTATGCATTTTCCAGTGAAGGAGGAAGCCTTAGCAGAGGCCATGCTCTTATGCACTTGGGATGTCAAAGCTAAGGGCTGGCATGACAGACAGAGCAGTGTTTGGAAGGATCTTGAATTAAAAGTCCTGCTCACTGAAGAATGCCCTTGTTCCAATGAAGATAGATCAGCAGCACTCAGTTAACCTGCCATAAGTTGCATTGTATTACTTTGAATACATTTCATGCTGCATTGCAGTGCAAATAAATCATTGCATTGCAAATAAACCATGCTGTTTAGCAATAAATCATGTGGCAGTTGACTTTGCTGCACATATAAATAACATGTTTCAGTTTCCCGGCTGTAGCTGGGTTCAGCTGTCAGGACAGTGGCCTGACAAACAACAAGGACAAACAACATCGGGAGAGACAATAAGGACAGATGAAGTGTGTGACATATAGCTGGACATGCAGGCATTATTCATAGGTTTGTGCCCAGTGCACCTGGCCAGTAAGCACACAGAGTCAGAACCCACGTGAAGGTCTTTTCATTAAGTAATTATATAATTCTGCAGAATCAGGTGCTTGGCGATTTTTGCAAAGCAAGCACCCCTCTGACTTGAAGCACTGCTATTTATACACATAAATACACTCGTTAATATGTGAAACCATCTCTCTGGATACTTCTGATCACCAAGAAGAGAACAGGAAAACCAGGACTCATGTTTATGGCGTTTGCACATGCAGCTTCCCATCCTCCAGCTGTTTCAAGCTCAGGTATTTCCTGACCGTGTTTTCACAAAGAATCACAGAATTTCTAGGATGGAAGAGACCTCAAGATCATCGAGTTTTGAGCAGCTCTATCTGACTTCGTCCCGCACAAGCTTCCTGCTGCTCTCAGGCAGGATGTGGGAGGTTGTTTTTGATGTGCACATGCTGTTTTCTAAGCACCAGCAGCAGGGCTTTACAAGGCGAGGGACTTTGGCCATGGATACCTGGCAAGTCTCTAGGGCTAAATGCTTCCAGAACCAGGGATAAGGATGGAGGAGAGATTCACAGCCCTCTGCTCGGAACCACCCCCAATTTCCTTTCACAGGAGCTGCCCTTTATCAGCCCTGAGAAGCCTTGCAGACACTGGGGAGGAGCTATGCTCTCAGCTCCCATAGCAGGAGGTGGCCCTGCCCATTCTCTTGTTTCACTTTTGCCTTAGTTCAGAGCCTCCACTGCTCCACAGCCCTGCAGTTCTCCTGCAGCACGATCAGAGGGAAGATGGCAGCCAAGAAGGTGCAGAAGTCTCGCAATCCTAAATTGCAGTCTGACCTGGAAAGCCTGATGGAAAAAATAGAAGTCTGCCGCAGTGTGGGCGTGGAGATCATCAACAACACTAAAAAGGTGACACTGGAGGACTTCAGGTGTGCATCCCCTGCTCCCCTACTGCTTTCCGCCAGCCTCCCCTGAGGGATCTCCTTAAAATGCCTTGGGTTTTGGGAAAACAATGGGGGCAAGCTCAGTGCCTGGTGCCAGAGCTCTCTCCTGCAAGTTCCTCTAGCTCCTGCTGGACAACTCCTGTGTATACACCAGCTGCACTACTCAGATGCATGCGCTTTGAGAAAACTTTTCCTTATTGTTATATATGGAGTGGTAACTCATGTCAAGAAAATGGTTGATATTAATAAAGAAGGGGGAGATTTGAGAGTGTGGCCATGGGGGTTGGAAAGCCTGTTAAGTCATGGACTGTAAGGACTGTTAAGTCATGGAACTTAAAGGATTGTTTGTTACCTTTTCTGATTGTACAGGCATACTCGGGTTTAGTATGTAAAGCAATGTTCTGTATATTTAGAATGTTTGATGTTTGTGTGTGCGTGTTGGTGGAACGTAGACTCCCCGCATACCCACCACTGTTTACTTGCCTTTTATACCTTTTATACCTTTTAGAAATATTTGCTTTATAAATATTACAAAATTCAGATTGAGTTGAGACATCATTTATAACAAATTGGTGACCCTGACATATCACAGAATCACAGAATCACAGAATTTCTAGGTTGGACGAGACCTCAAGATCATCGAGTCCAACCTCTAACCTAACACTAACAGTCCCCACTAAACCATATCCCTAAGCTCTACATCTAAACGTCTTTTGAAGACTTCCAGGGATGGTGACTCCACCACTTCCCTGGGCAGCCCGTTCCAGTGCCTAACAACCCTTTCAGTAAAGAAATTCTTCCTAACATCTAACCTAAAACTCCCCTGGCATAACTTTAGCCCATTCCCCCTCGTCCTGTCACCAGGCACATGGGAGAACAGGCTGATCTTCTTGGACTTTGGATCTGTGACAGGTAAAGGGAGGCACCCCACACAGTGGCCCTTGCCGATAGTGGTGCTGTAGTCCAACAAGATTTTGAACATAAGAGGCAAGTAAAGAACCAAGAGCTCTTATTTTGTGACCCATAATTCTGCACGGAAGACCCAAATGAAGATACCATTCAGTTGCATGGAATTCGGTTGTGTGACTGTGTGTAGGGTTGTAACTGAGATGGAATTTAGTTCCGAAGCTAAGAATTCGTGGGTGGGTTAACAACTTGCAAGACACCTCTAAACACAGGCACAGCCAGGGATTCAGAACCTCTTTAAGGGTTCCAGGGATTCAGAACTTATTTGAAACTTCCAGGATGGATCAGGTGAAAAGGGACCCATAACAGGAACTTGAAGTAAATCAGGGCATAGCTACCCCTGTTGGATTCTAATTGTAGCGATTGAAATAATAGCTGGGAAATATACCTAGAGGATTGGTTATCTACTTTGATCAACCAAATCTGATGTGTGTGATGCTAGTGACAATTATCATACACCCTGTGGAACAATGAGTTGGGTGAAATATTCTGGATATGGGATTCCAACCATTGCTAAAAACTTGTTTATAAATCTTGCAGAGAATATTGTGAAAGCATTCTCTTGTGGTTCAATTGGCCTTTGCCGAATTTGAAAACAAGACACGAAATAATGATATTCAAAAGAAGAGGAGGGATTGTTATATATGGAGTAGTAATTCATGTTGAGAAAATGGTAGATATTAATAAAGAAGGAGGAGATTTGAGAGTGTGGCCATGGGGGTTGGAAAGCCCCGTGGTTGAGATAACATTAGACTCTTAACGATGAGGCCATCAGGAATATAAAAGAGTTTAGAGGGGACAAAAAAGGGTGATTCAGGAGACTCCATGCAGTCTCTGGTTTCTTGTTCTCCAGATGGTCTCTTGTTCTCAAGCCTTTAAGGCATGGATGTTTCTGGGTGTTTGCTGTTGTTGTTACATTCAAGGTTGTTTGACCAATGAAAAGTTGTTTTGAAAAGAACTGCTGTGGGGAGAAGGGTATAAGAGGAGAGCCTGCCCTCAAGATAAAAAAGGCAACACGATGAAGTTACATCAATAAAGAAGCAGGAAAAAGAAGTGAAGAGGAACAGGTTGGGAGAATGGAGACCAGGATGGGAACAGGCACTTTGATTGCCTCTTGAGGATAGGTTCAGCCAAACTCAGCAAGCTGCTCAGAGAAGCTTGTGCTGAAAGTCCCTGGAAACAGACTCACTGGAGCTGGAGAGAAGCTCGAGCTGAGAGAAGCGGACCCGTGCACACAACTGCCTCTCGCTGGTAAGCAGCTGCACATTACGGGGAATCATACGTCCTTAGGAACAAAGACTGTCCTGGTAACTTTACAGCTTATCCTCCTTATTAACAATTGGACAGTTTATGAGCCTGAAATATGGGACCAAACTGAGGTCAAGGTGTGGGACTCTGCAACTAAAAATGGCAAGGTTGCACTGGGATTGCTCAGCACCTGGCAAGCAATCTCTGAGGCCTTAAAAAGCCATGTGGAGCCACAATCACAAATGTGTGGTTTGCCAGATAGTGAGGGAGCTGCGGGCTCCTTTACTGATCCGACTGCTACGCCATCAGCCCCTCTGCTGCTACAGCTATCGAAGGCCTTTGCTGTTATGCCCTCTGATGACCTGGACATGCCTTTTGACCCAGGCCTCATTGGCCTTGAAAAGGAGATGGATATGTTTTTCACAGAATCACAGAATCACAGAATTTCTAGGTTGGAAGAGACCTCAAGATCGAGTCCAACCTCTGACCTAACACTAACAGTCCCCACTAAACCATATCCCTAAGCTCTATATCTAAACGTCCTTCAAAGACTTCCAGGGATGGTGACTCCACCACTTCCCTGGGCAGCCTGTTCCAGTGCCTAACAACCCTTTCGGTAAAGAAGTTCTTCCTAAGATCCAACCTAAAACTCCCCTGGCGCAACTTTAGCGCATTCCGCCTCGTCCTGTCACCAGGCACATGGGAGAACAGGCCATCCCCCACCTCACTACAGCCTCCTTTAAGGTACCTGCAGAGAGCGATAAGGTCACCCTGAGCCTCCTTTTCTCCAGGCTGAACAAGCCCAGCTCCCTCAGCCGCCCCTCGTAGGACTTGTTCTCCAGGCCCCTCACCAGCTTCGTCGCCCTTCTCTGGACCCACGCAAGCACCTCCATGTCCTTGTAGCAAGGGGCCCAAAACTGAACACAGTACTCGAGGTGCGGCCTCACCAGAGCCGAGTACAGGGGGACGATCACCTCCCTAGCCCTGCTGGTCACACTGTTTCTGATACAAGCCAGGATGCCGTTGGCCTTCTTGGCCACCTGAGCACACTGCTGGCTCATATTCAGCCGACTGTCCACCATCACTCCCAGGTCCTTCTCTGCCTGGCAGCTCTCCAACCACTCCTCTCCCAGCCTGTAGCTCTGCTTGGGGTTATTGCACCCCAAGTGGAGGACCTGGCACTTGGCCTTGTTGAACTTCATACAGTTGACCTCAGTCCATCGGTGCAGCCTATCCAGATCCTCCTGCAGAGCCTTCCTACCCTCAAGCAGATATCATTGGCCTTGAAAAGGAGATGGATATGTTTTTCTTCAGTCTGAGGAGAACAGGGTACATAAGGCCTGAAGACCGAGTTGCTTGACAACTTAAAGCGAGACATATTGTTCAAAAGGAATGGAAAATGGAGACTGTTATTTGTAATCAAGAAAAGGAATTGAAAATGGAGACTGTTAAGTCATGGAACTTAAAGGATTGTTTGTTACCTTTTCTGATTGTATAGGCATACTCGGGTTTAGTATGTAAAGCAATGTTCTGTATATTTAGAATATTTGATGTTTGTGTATGCGTGTTGGTGGAACGTAGACTCCCCGCATACCCAGCACTGTTTACTTGCCTTTTATACCTTTTATACCTTTTAGAAATATTTGCTTTATAAATATTACAAAATTCAGATTGAGTTGAGACTTCATTTATAACAAATTGGTGACCCTGACGTGATCTTCTTGGACTTTGGATCTGTGACAGGTAAAGGGAGGCACCCCACACACATTTTGAACGTAAGAGGCAAGTAAAGAACCAAGAGCTCTTATTTTGTGACCCATAATTCTGCACGGAAGACCCAAACGAAGATACCATTCAGTTGGGTGGAATTCGGTTGTGTGACTGTGTGTAGGGTTGTAACTGAGATGGAATTTAGTTCTGAAGCTAAGAATTCGTGGGTGGGTTAACCACTTGCAAGACACCTCTAAACACAGGCATAGCCAGGGATTCAGAACCTATTTGAAGCTTCCAGGGATTCGGCCAGGGATTTTGAACCTCTTTGAGGATTCCACAGATTCGGAACCTCTTTGAGGGTTCCAGGGATTTGGAACCTCTTTGAGGGAGAGTTCCAGGGTTTCAGAGCTTATTTGAAGCTTCCAGGAAGGGTCAGGTGAAAAGGGACCCATAACAGGAACTTGAAGTATATCAGGGCATAGCTACCCCTGTTGGATTCTAATTGTAGCGATTGAAATAATAGCTGGGAAATATACCTAGAGGATTGGTTATCTACTTTGATCAACCGAATCTGATGTGTGTGATGCTGCTAGTGACAATTATCATACACCCTGTGGAACAATGAGTTGGGTGAAATATTCTGGGTAAGGGAATCCAACCATTGGTTAAAACTTGTTGATAAATCTTGCAGAGAATATCATTTATAACATTATCCACCTTTGGAGGACTTCCTCACCTTAACCAGCTTGCCCGGATGACCTGAGGCCATCAGGATGAGCTCTCATCTCTTCCAGATTGGGGGAACCAGCAGAAACCAGTACATATTTATGCTGTGCTACCACTGCCTTTTGCCACTCTCTTTTCCTATTCGCTTCCCATTAAGGCTCAGTTTGTGCACTTTGAGGTCTACTGAGGTTTTCACAGAGGGCAGGGGCAGTTATTAACAGCATGACCAAATGCTTTAACAATGTAAAGGTGTTAAGAAACAGAAGGGGGTGCCATCAGGGGAATTTCTGCTGGGACAAGTGTGTATTCTGGAGTGACAAGGGAGAGGTATC